GAGTATATGGTTTTTACGACGCGGACACACACACCGCACTGCAGCAGTGTACGCTGCAGGCCCATGATACGACCCTCTACACACCGTCGCCGACACGTATTATTATTATTAAACGGCCTCTGAACCACGTAAGAACCCTTAACCCTGTCCGCCACCATTGTCGTATCACACACTCATGTATATTATATATACCTTATACCTTATATACCTTATACCTATATAATATAATATATTATATATAAGGCCGACGACACCTATATACACACACTATATATGTATACGAACGCTTATACGAGTAAAGCGTAGATGTGTGACGACGTGTATACGTGTATGGAAGTCGGCTGATGTTGTAGTCTCGTCGTGTACTTGTGTGCACCTATATAGGACGTTTTATATGGTGTTGTATGTTGGTAGAATAATTGCAGTGTACCTATTATATGTACTGAGGAAACAATTTAGAGGAAGACACCCATTCGTTTAGAAAACACCAATATTTTTGAAAATAATTCTTTTTCACATAATTTAAGGTCGCTAATAAGCAGCATTTTTGGAAAAAAATATATTTTTACTTTTTGAATGACAGAGACATTATTTTTCAAGTTCATATGCCTAAGTAGAATATTGTTTTAAGTATTTCGATTTATAAAAATCAAATTTCGGTAGAGTATAGTTTATTAGTTATACGTATTTAAAACTTAGACGAACGGAGTAGTGGACCAACATGTTCTGGGGTTAACCTGTACCATTTCTCTCCGCTCATCAAGTTATATGTTATAGCTCATAAACTACCTAGAGACATTTTTTTTTAATCGAAATTATCTAAAAATTATTCTTCTTTGGAATACAGAATAATAATTTCAGGTTGTCATTAAAAGAATTTAAAAATAATAATGATAAAAAATAGTAAAAATATATTTTCAAAAACGTTAATAGTCTTTTAAATAATGAGTGTCTTATATTTTAAATGGATCACTCACTATAATATATCATATTGTGTTATGGTTGTATAGTAGTCGTTTTGTTTAAAAGTGAGACCCGGCCCACCCGGGTGGCAGTCACATACTCACATATAACATAATATTATCATATATTTTATCATAATAATGCGTTTATTAACGCATATTTTATATTACTAACGAATACCAACGATATTATGAACGTTTATGTTATATGATAAATTGTAATATATTGTTTTTTACAGGCAAGATTTTTTTCCTTCGCACCGCATGAAATTTACGAGCTCTCTTTACTGCCAACCGACGACAAAGATTTAATAATATTATAATTCAAAATACTTTTTGGAGGTTTGAGTTGCCTTATATGTTTTACAACGTATAAAATCGGTGGCAAACTGAAAATGGCCACTAAAGCGATAACTACGCTTTGCAGTTATTCGATTGGACTTAAAAACGGCAAAACGTACTATAGTGTTCTACTTTTAAACCGACTACTTAGGTATTTTTAATATATGCGTGTTTTTATAGTTCAAAATTTGGTAGAAAAGATAGGTTTTAAAATACCTTTAGAGCTATAGACCTATTCACAGATTAGTTGTTTTATTGTAAAAAAAAAGGATGGTAAGACATTTATATACCCTTGTACCACTTCATAAAATATCACAGCATAGATGGGTAGATATAAATATTATATGGGCTGCAGTATTAGCCAGTTAAGTAACGGGGTAGGTATAGTAGGTACTACAGATATTTTTTACTTTGATTTAGTGTACTTCTCAATTTGAGTTACGTAATTGCATCATCGAAGGCAGATCAAATATAAATAATATGCTATTAATTATTGATTTTTTTTTATTAAATAAGGTCTAGGTGACTATGGCCATTGGCTGTATTGAATTAACATACGTTTACATTTTAGAACCATTGAGAACATATAAAAATTACAAACGATTAAGTAAATTATACTTAATAATAAAGGTTATCATAATATTATTATATGCATATTATGAATGTACCTAAATACCTATTTTTAGTTGATTTAGACATTTAGTTTAGGTGAACTTTCGGCTTTCCCTCGTAGAATACTTATCGATGTCCTCTTTTATTTTCACTTATGGATTTTATTTCGGAACTGGCGGATGTCAAGACCTTGCCAAATCAGATTACTTCCATGTGTGTTCGAAGACCAGTTTGGGTTGGGTTGCATCTTTTTCATAAGTTTCTATACTGATGTGTCTATATTACTTGTATTTTTCATATTAAACAGAAAACATTCGATACTATACACACAATAATGTATTGTAAACAAAACATGCTGATCAATTTCTAATAGTTATGTTGTATCTACGTACATTATATTAGTATACACGTGGCTATATGTGATTTTGATTTTAAAATATGCAAGTGCTTGATGATAAGTGATAACATATAGCCATCATATAGTGTAGACGTCATACTAGAGCAGAAATATGACGGTAGTGCGCATACAAGAGCAGCACCTTATAAAAGGTACTTGGCCAACATTTCTACTTTCTAGTACTTCATTAAAATGTTATTTGATCGTTTGCTTTTTTTTTAAAAATTATTTTCTAAAATTAGTTTTTGTATGTTTATAAATGGTTGCCATTGGTTGCAGATTACAACAGTAATTATAGTAGAAATTATAATTTATTATAATTTTTTTTTTGAATATTGGTTGCCAATTGCCAACAGTTGTTTGATAGTGCATCGTAATACTGGACGCAGGGAATGCTATCTAATTATTATCTAATAATATGTTGAAAATACGGTACAATAATTTTTAGTTAAATTGACATAACTCTGTTGATATTGTTCAAAATTATTTGAAAACTACGCCATGCACTTCTACGTAAAGTGTCCAATTAAATTATTGTATTTTCAAACTTCATTATTTAACTACAAATTTGATATGTTTTTTCAAGAAATTATTTTCGTGAAACGTGTTGCTTGCTGTTATTATAGTCCGGCAGTTTAATGTGCGCTTTGCTTATGTGTGTATTTCAAGGCGCTCTTTTCTTTTTATACTTAGCGCTACCTTGCCGGGTCGTTGGATATTAATAATAATAATAATAATAAATCATTTTTATAGTAGGCATGTTTATTGAATCCATCGGCTCGGTTACAAATTCGGTACGTTTGTGGGTCTTCGTGCATTGAAGTTTTCCGGAGAAATGATCTAATAAAACATGTTTGTAAAATATATCTGAACACATCAAATGATTCATTTGATCGTCCGCACTCGGCATAATATAATAACATCTAAACGGTAAATGTATAATAGGCATATTATAAATTAGAATAACAACAAAAAGAAGAAGATTTATGCTTATTTTTCCAATTTCACATTGTTTGGTTTCGGCTTTTTCTTTTGGATTCACACAACAAACATTTTGAACGCTTCATAACAATAATAACGTATGGCAGAGATTCGTTTTTAAATCCTGCAGTGTGCCATATATGATTTTATTATGGGCACAATATACCTGTCTACACGTTTTATTCGTCGCTATTTCCTAGTATTATATTATATAGTGGGATTCGAGGTGAATTTTACTCCCCCAAAATAAAACGTCGTCCTGCGAACTCGCGTTAACGTGTGTCCGATTGTCATTGTATTTATATGACAGTTTAATAATATACTATTCCTTACGCATACGGTTGTTTTTTGAACGGTCCTTACAGTACTATTAGTGGGCTGCTTTTATTCTGCCGAAGAAAGAAATTCACCGTACCGAAAACATCAATCGGACGATATTATTATGGGTTAGATGAGGTACGTTATGTTATTATACAAAAGTTATAAGATACGAGCTTATATATCATATAATATGTAGCACACACACACACACCCACACGTACACACACCATGTTCCATACGAGATCGTATAAACTGTAAACATTGTCTGACGTGTGTACAACAAAATGGCTTTATCTCATTATTATCGAACATGGATTTGTTCTCTCATCCACTGCAGGACCCTTTCGACTCGGTACAAAAGTCTATTGTCCTGCAGTTTCCCGTTGACAACCCAACACACATCATATATAATATTATACACATTGTGTATAATATATATATATATATACCTGTTATATTGTATACGTATAAAAGCTAACTAAAACCGACAACCCCATTTGGATTACACGTTCTATTTAGAAGGGTTGGCTGTACTTTGACCTCCCGAGAAATCAAATCATTTTCCACTTAGACGCGTCCTAATAGTTGTCAGACGGTATTAATTTAATTTTCCCTAGGTTTTTTACATTGTACATTTTCATTAGAACTTTTAAAACACGGTTTAATTAAATTACAAGATATATCATGGCATTCAATTTGATTAATTCAATTTTTTCCACACACCCTACTACTTTGTACCTCGACATTAAACTTGCTACAAATGGCATATACATTGAAGCATTAATATGATAGATTTATCGTTAACGACAACCTGGAAAATATAATATGTATATCAACTAATATTTTCTAAACCTAAAATGTTGAGATTTGTTTGAAATAATAAATTATGTTTTATTTGATTTAAAAATAATGAAATCCCTGGTCCCTTAGTAATTGATGGGATACGTCTATTTTTCAGTCTTCATTTTTGTTTTATGGCCAAAGAAAAAAGTATTCGGAAATTCGTTATATCTGGAGTCCATATTATATTGTATTGGTACAAACGGTTACCTATTAAGTTATTAAAAATAATAATCGAAACGATGGCAAATAAATTAAACATTATATATAGATCGGCACACACGAAAAATCACTATAAGACTGGTCATCTACTATAACAACACTGCTGTTGAGTACAGATTGATGGTGTTATGCCAAACATTACGGTAAAACCGCCCCCCCCCCCCGATGTATGTACTGCTTCAAAAAGACGATAGCATACCAGTGCACAAAAAGTTATTTCAAGTCGTTGACTTTGTGGGGGTTTCGCTATTCGGAGTGTCTATTACGATATTAACGACTCGTGCTGTTCAGCTGAACACCAATAAATCGCTTTATAAACGCTTTCAACGCCTACCAGTATTGTGGATAGTTTCGGACATCACCGTAGAGTCACATTCATCGCTTAGAATTTCGTTGTCAACAATCGGCCCTTCATTCTCTCGCTGTGGATTGCACCCTCGCACCGCCATTCGCATCGTCATCATATTCGCATATTTACCACCGAGCATCAGAATATACACGGGTGGCTCGGGGAAGCAATGTGATTGTGAGTAAGCAACGGCCGCTGCTACTAGTTCCCGGATGGATGACCACCCGGGTCCATAATGGCAATTATCACCAATATCACTATTATCTACTATTATCACATCTAGCAGACAGAATAAAATGTGATGGCTATACATGGTCGTATTATATTGAAACGCCGTCGCGGGTGCTATCGACTATTGAGGTCTGCAACATATTTGGCATCGTCGTGCAAACCAGCATCACCGTCGTTTGCACGGAAAATACACATCATGACCGACTGTACAACTTTATATTATAATATTTACCAGCTCGCTCGAGCAGTTATCGCTGACGTCCATCGGCGGCGAGATGGGAATCAATTACGCGAGAGGACTTTTCCCGGTCTGCGGGCGCTGCTGTCTCTTTAACCGCCGCCGGTGCTGCATTTTATTACGGCCACGTGTCGGCTTCTCTTTCTGCCTACGTCGACCCCCAGATGAATATCGCACGCGAGACACCGGCGATCATCGGTTCTGATATAATATATACGCTGTAGGTACCTCGCCGCCCGACGGACCGTGCAGTCGTGTAAACGTCCTGTTTGCACAGTATGCCCGAGTGAGAGCACACACATACACACACACACACACACGCCACACATACCTATATATATATTTACATATACAGATGCAAAGGCTTAGGGCACCGGGAAGCCATCTACGGTGGAGTGAATACCCTAGGTGGGGGTCTGATAGTGGGATAGAAGTGCGTGGCGAGTCTACAATAGCGAATAATAATAAAAAAAAAAATAATTTTTTTTTTTAAAAACCGACGACGTGCGTGATTTACACACGCTGCTACATCGGATACACGAGGTATGATATATAAGTGTACATATATATATATAATATACAAAGTGTATGTGCGCGGGAGTGGCGGCATTGTTTCGCCGTGTATAAGCGTTGTACAAGCGTGCGAGTGTGTGTTTGCTTTTTTCTCGAAAATCGTGACTTACGACTTCCGTCTATCCTCTCTCGTGTATTATATACCTACGATCGCTGCTGCAGCCGCTCACGTAACGCTACAAATACACGCACACACATACACATACACATACGCACTTTAATTGCCTCCTGTCGCCAGATTGTACACTCACAAGCACACATACGGCTATCGTGTGCGTACAATTAATAATGACGTCTGCCCGACGTGCCAGATAGGTCCGTGCGGCATTGACGGCCACGTACCGTGACGGCATAGGAATTATATATTATTATTTTAAGCTATACATATTATATACAGTGTAAGACGCAGCGGTGATGAAACTTTTTTTTGTATATTATTACCTTAAGGCAGTGGCCAGAGCAGTAGAGGACTTCCGCCGATAACGGTGCGTCGTATCACCTCCCGAGCGCGGATAACCGAAATCGTAGCTGATCCGGAAGGCATCTGGTATAATGATAATAATACATATTATGGTCGCTTTTCTCGGCTCTCCGGATATCCAGACGGTTGAGTGTATAAAAAATCACGCTCGTCAAAGTTTTCCCGATCACCGAGACCTGTGTAATCGATGCAGGACTTCCGTCTCGATGCACATCGCACCTTCCTTCCTTATTTATAGATCCTGTCGTGATCGATTTAGGCGATCATTTTGCTCAAACACACTTGCTGCATCGTGTGACATAATATTATATATTATATTTTATAATTTACCCGTCTCCACAACGTTTTATAAGGTTTCGCTCCATGTAATGTCGAGTCAATACTGCCTCGCAGATGATGTTCCAAACGATAGAAACGCTGATGTAAAAATTCACTTGAGTTTCTGTGTGCCACACATAGTTTTGAGACTTATAATAACGATACGATACCTCTACAACATTATATTATATTAGTATTATGTATAAGCATATATTTTATCTAGATTAACAACCCGTGCATCACACTTTAATATGAGCTGAGCTAAATATTATGGACATATTCACGCTTGTATTATACACATTTCAATTATTATTATTATTTGAGCCTTATTATGAATTATGATTCGGGTATATATATTTATACGTCATACTGGAGTATAGTATTCGATAACCAAACCACAACAAATTTAACGACAACGGTAAATTGAAACTGAACAGAAAAACTTATTATTGTTGTCACAGATTGTCGATGAAAGAATGATTCAGATACCACACGTGTGTCCCCAATATGGACATTAACAATAGAATTCTGTAATTTCGATAAAAAAAAATAATTTGTTCGATGATCGAGGGTCGAGGCACCATGGTTGAAACAATTATTATTCGTGTTTATGGACTTATTATAGTAAAATCGATATAATAACAACTACCACCGATATGTTTTGGTAAACCATACAATACTGAGTACTATAATGGGTTGAGAGGGGGACGGAGTGGCCGATTGGACTAAGACGTCGGTGGTGAACCCCGGCCACGGGCAGCACTTTTTTTCGGCAGTCACTGTGTCTGGAGAGAGTGGCCGCTATCCTCCACCCGGGCATGGCAGATACCTACGAGTGCCCACTTGAAAATTCTGCCAAACTAAAAACACACGTGTTTAAAACCTACAGTACCCTCCCCAACAGTTATAAAAACCACCCAATAGCCAAAGTGGCCGCGGATTAATTAATGAAAAAAAAAAGAATTGGGTTTAGATAAGTATATTATATAGAAAAGAAATAAAATAATTTATACTGTTATCAGAACAAATAAATCTAGACACGCGGTAGCGTGTCAAGCCAAGTTCTAGCTAACAGAACTGGCGAGCAGCACCGTGTGTAATATTACACGAACCATTTGGAGCCACTTTTGACCCCCTCATAACTCAAAAACTATTCCACATAAACATGTCAAATTTGGCTCATATATTGAGACTAACGAGATACTTATGTGCTCTAAATTTCATAAACACACTTCAAACCGTTATTTAGATATTAACGTCCGAAAATCGTCATTTTTATCACTGACTTACCTATAGATCAAAATTCTAACCCAGTTCCAGATGACCTAGAAAGTTCAAATTTGGCATACAGATAGGTAGTTAGGTAAATACAAAAGAAAAAATCAGAAACTTGAAAATTTTTAATTTAAAATTTTTAATTTTTAATTTTTTAATCAATTGATTTTATTATAATTTTGCAATTATTTTATCTATTATGTTTAATTTTTCAATTTATTAATGAATTGCCTCTAATTTAATGTAATGTAATGTAATGTAATGTTGACTTAAATTACCTTTCCCGTATCGCCGCTCCAAAAATACGACTAGCCGAATATGTGTCAATATTGTCGACCCGCGCGCAGCAACATACTTTTTTTTCTATCTATGTATGTAATTAATATTATTTTTTTTAAATATTACAATTAAAATAATTAAATAATTATTCTTACAAATTATGAATTATCCACCCAACAGTAGAAACTACAGTCAATAAAATTATGATAATTAAAAATATTCTTCGGAAAATCATCTTCACTCTTCCATTACTGTTTTAGTAGGTACTTATAATAATAATTCGTATATGAAAAGTAGCCAAGTCACACCTTAGGCTTCAATATATTATCCTAACTTGGCACCCATTTAGATCTCACTTCTTTTGTCGTTGAAGTCAACAACCAAGGCATATACGATATTATAGTATTGAACTTGGCTCTCATTTTACATATATGTTTTTGGTGGGATATGTACTACGTGGTAAGCTGCAGTGTTTCATAATATGGAATAGGTGTTAGAAGACGGATCCCATGAAATTCAATTTCAACAATCTTTGATATTATAATCATTCCTTGAAGATCGATTTACACTTGTCACTTCATATAATTCAATTATCTGTATAAATAGAAAAGTCACGTATAGGTCGTGACGCCGTTGTTCATAATATTATAATATAATATCACATACGTGCAGCTGGTGGGCGATAGTGCGGCGGAAGGGATAGTATATCATCTCGTTTGCAAAAATATTCGTCTGCGTCGATGACGACAAAACAAACGGTACGAGGCAATATCGTGTTCATATTTATGTGTGTGTGTGTGTGGGCGGGCGCACGCGCGTGTACACAGCGACCGCGAGAGAAGTTTTTCGCAGACGCGTCCGATGATAGATGACCGTTACGGGGTTGTAAGTGCGCGGCGGCGATGGCGTTTGATGAAGACAGATGACCGGCCGGGAAGGGCGTACATAATAATAATAATAATATTAATAATAGGGATGCTGCAATAGGTCGGACACGTGGATCGAGTGCGAAGCCGCCGAGCAGAGCCCCCGCGGGAGTATATGCATATGTATTATAACGGTCGTACATATACGCGGTGACGGCACACGGGCGCGAACCGACAAACAATTACAAAAAATATATAATCATCGTCGTCGCCGCCGTCGCACCGGCTACGGCTGGCTAGCTGCGGGCGCGACCCAATAGCGGCGGCGCATCGGGTGGCGGGAGGTGCGTTCGGCTCATTATTCCGCGTACAGGGCAGACTTCATCAATCCACGTCGTCGCGCAAACGGCCGCCAGAGGGCTCGACCTGCCAGTCATCGTGTGCCGTTGCAGCAGCTATATAGGTTTGTGTGTGTGTGTACAGAGTATTCTTTCTCCGTGTGCCAACCCCCTTTACTCGCCGTCACTCCTCCGGCAGTGCAGTGCATCTCTCGAGCTCCCGCGCTCTGTAGCTCTTCCCGCAGCTCACCAGCCCGTCGCGCACTTAATGTATAAATCATTTACCATCTTTCGGTAGCCGACTCATCCATCATCGCCGCCATCACCACCACCCTCCCACCCACGAGCGTCGTATATCGGCCCAAGGTGTCGAACCCGTTCCTCTATCCTTATACCACGCACCCGCCACCTCCTTATCTCCCACCTCTTATACCCCCCCCCCCCGCAGCACACTTTCACGAGTCTTCGGCGTTTTGGACATCAACCGTGGTATATATAATATAAATGTTTGTCTGTGCGCTCGCTTTATGCGCATAACATTGTGTTGTTACATTATGTGTATATATGGGTACGCGTTTTATTATTATTATACGACCGGATACATCGACCGAGTTCGATCGTGCTCGTATAATGTGTATATATAATAACAATATAATATATAGGTAAAGAAGTCAAAAACCGTCGAAAGCCATGATCGTCGTCGATCCATCATCG